TATATTTTTGGAAACCAAATGTCAGAGTGATGTGTCATTCTAGCCTTACGTGAATGATTACAGGTGCTGTCCACAGAAGCAACAACACAGGAATCTGAGGACGTGTGTAGCTCCATCCTGTGTGGCATTGCTTCTTACATAGTCAGCATAATGGATGCTGTAGTTCTTAAACACACTGCTTGTGTGGTTTATGCACAATTGCTGCTTAACAGAGCTGTAGGGCCAAACTGTCCAGTGAACAGGAGCAGATGAGGACAACAACCAGAGTACTGTAAAGCAACTTCCATGTTATCATCGTGTTACACCTATATCTGTTCTTCTTGCAAGATGGAGTCTGGAAATTTTTACAGCAGGAGAATTATGCTCCTTTTCCCTGCACTTAATAATCAAATTTCTCACACCAAAGAATGAAATTTGAGTTCAGTAAAGATCGGTTCAGTCAATCGCAACCAGACAAACCTGGCTATCATCTGGCAATCTCAATGTCAGCGTTTGCTAACTCCTGCAAAGAGTGTTCTAAAATGTTTATGTTTTTGAACATAGATTATCAGAAAGGTGGAAACAATTCCTGAAAAAAAAAAAAAACAGAAGTTCTGAAGTTAGAGGTGGACAATGGAAGTAAGGTAAGCCTGAAAGAGAAGTATCAAGTATGATTGCTGTTGGAAAAGGAAGGCGGGACAATCCTGAGTACTGGAACATTGGATCTTCTACCGCCCACCCACCCAGTAACACCTTTAAGGAAAAGGCAAAGTGGTTTTTTTCATGAAGCTGTACAGTATGGTAATTGAAAACACAGAGTGTCAGGGTACAAAAAACTTGTTCCATGACTTAGCTTTTGTTGGATGCTCTTCAGCATATAGCAAAACCTTGGGGAAGGTATCTGAATCTCAAGTTTCCAGTGAAGTTTTTCCGGTCAACTTGAGAAGAAAGCAAACAAGGGGGTAGATGAAGGTTAGCCCTCTGAGACAGAAAAGTCTTTAAGTATATGTGCCGACTCCATGCTGAGGGGATGTATGTGTTGGAGATGCAGAGATTATTCTGACAGCTACCGAGTTTACAGGGGATTAGATTCTCTACCCCAACATGCAACGGTCTGTCAGAGATGGAATGCAGGATAATGTCCAGAGCACAGACAGGCAACCTTTCTGAAGCAGACTGGTACTCTGGAGCAAGTCAAGATGGTGGCCTGCGCACCCTTCTGCCCCAAGTCAGAATTAGGACCCTCTCAGGGCATCTGATATTCAGGACAGCACAAAGACTGTCACTGAATCTAGGCTGCAATCCTGACTTGTTCTGTCTATGTTCTTACATGAAACAAAGTAAATGTTTCCAGTGTAGCACTGTAAATTGCCAATAGATGGCATAATGATTCCACGCTACAATAAATTAAAAAAAAAAAAAATCAGTGCTGAAGGTAATATGCTGCACAATTTTTGTTAATTCTGTGTTTAATCATGGTAAAGCTCCTTGTGAAGGAGAGAGCTCAGTAAATGAGTTACCTGGCTGTGGCCTTTCACAGTACCTTTATGCTGAATTTTTCCATCTACCTTCAGTTTGTGTATTGTCACAGATCTGCTTGCTTAGGTAGGCATTTTGATTTCTTCTCACCTCTAATTAGTTTATTAAAAAAAAAAAAGTAATTGTAAATATTCTGATGCACATCTAATTCTTACTTATTCTTTATAGCAGCCAGGGCTGTGTCTTTGCTTCCACTGAACATTTGTGAACCAGCATTGCTCATCTGGTGCACTGGGTGTTACCTGTATACCTATACTGGGGGACTGACTCAAAGATTACAGTAAGATTAGAGGCAGATGGCTGAAGCTGCTCCCTGCTTGTCTGTTGAAGGTCAACATCTCTGCTTATTGCTGCCTGAATCACATACAAAACAGATGGTGGGCTGCTGCTGTTTGTGGTCCGGTGTATTAAAGTAAACCAGTATCAATGACAGGGTCATGTTCATTTTCAAAAGCAAATATTTAAATACTAGACAAGGTGCTCGCAGCTTTATAGAAGTTTTCAGAGCAGTTGCACTGAAATGTCCAAAAATGAATTAAATGCTTTACTAACAGTGAACTATAAGCAAAAAAATGTATATAGCAAGTTTTTCTAGCATTCTGACTGTGAAAAGGATTCAGCACAAAAAGAAGTTCTACATTTTTTTGTAAATGCCTCTTACTCTTAGGGGAGAAAAATTCTCTTGCTACTATATACTGCCACCAGTATCCTAGACCACATGATTCTCTGTAAACACATATGATGCTCATGGATTTTGATGTTGCATTGGGAGACCTCAGAGGGATTGAATAGGTCTCCTCTGCTTTTTCGGTTTGTACATGAAATCAAAAGCAACGAGGATCTGGAGATACGGATTTTAGTGTTATCAGTGTGATGGCATTGTGTTAGTTTAGATCTTCTTTTTTCAACCCGTTAGGGACTGTCAACTCATCCATCTGGCTGACAGTTCTGTAGCATTAGCGACAGCTGGTTGAAGTAACTCAGACAAAACCGAGACTTTGCTTGTGAGCAGGGTAGAACTTTTAAGAAACTTGCCAGTTTCTGTGTAGCTGTCACTTAGGGAGTGAATCCATCAATGAAGAGAGCTATCAAACATGGAGGTCATCCTTGATTGCACTTTTAGGAGTTTGATGGAATCATTCGGTTGTTTCAAGTGAACTGAAACTGTTGCTTGGCAGTTTTATCTGTCTTCTGATCACTTGACATCAAGCTGCAGACTCAACTTTGCTAACAGTGAAATTACTTCCAGAAAAAAATCTGATAGCATCTCCCAGATGATGTATGAAGAAAATGATTAGTTGGTTATATTTTGATAAATTTATACCTGGACATTTTTATTTCTTTGTTTCTAGTTGTACTACTTTTTTTGTGGAATTTGTTCTTTTCACCTAGAAGGCAAACACCCACAGCATGATATGAAAGCTTAGAAATAGCATTGTGCAAGCCACTCAAATGATTGCTAGGTTCATCGTCTCTAACGTAATCATGCTTAATAATTAAATAATGTTTTCAATGTGTTCAGTAATTAACTCTGATGTAAGAGAGGTAAAAAGGAAGCAAGTGCAGCCATAATATGACAATGAATATGTAACAGGACATGCAGTGTAAAGGGAAAATAGGGGTAGGGAAGGTATTACAGCCCTCTTGCTTTCTCCTGTAACTCTGCCTGCCTATTTCTGCTAGGTTTGTGTGGTGGGGTTTTGGTAGCAGGGGAAGGGGCTACAATGGTGGCCCCTGGGAGAAGCTTCTCAAAGCTCTTCTGGCCAGGGCTGAGCCAATTGGCGATGGTGGCTGCACCTCTGCGATAACATATTTAAGAAGGGGAACCCAAAAGGGGGCAGGGACTTGTGAGGAATTGTTATGAGAAGGTCACCTATGTGAACACCCAGGTCAGAGGAGGAAAGGAGGGAGGGAGGTGCACTGGTGCAGAGCCCACACCTGTATCGCATGCTGAGGTGGCAGGGCTGCCGTCCTACCACCCATGGAGGTCCACGGTGGAGCAGAGGCTCCCTGAGGAGGGACGCACACCAGGACAGGCATCTGCGCTTAGAGGAGGCCAGGTCTCTGAGAAGTGGTTCCCGCCATTGTAGTTTGGTACTGGTAGGACTGCAACACGCGGGGGTGATCCATGCCGGATCAGCGTGGGAACGGCTGCATCCCGTGGGGAGGATTCATGCTGGAGAAGGTTCGTGGAGGACTGTCTCCTGTGAGAGGGGAGCCACGTGGAGCAGGGGAGGAATGTGCGGTGTTCATCCCACCTCCCGAGCAGGAAAGAGCTGTGAGCTGACTGTAACCCCCATCCCCTGCGCCACTGGGGGAGGAGGTAGAGAGATTGGGAGCAGAGCTGAGCCCAGGGAAGAAGGGAGGGACCAGGGGAGGTGGTTTTGGATGTGGTGGCGCTTCTCATTGTCTCACCTTGTTTGTTGAGTGTTGGTTTAGTTAGTGTTTGAATTAAAGTGATGTTCTTTTTCTTCCTCTACCTAGTCTGCCTTTTGCCTGTGACTGTAACGGATGAGTAGTCTTTCCCTGTTCTTGATTCCAAGCCTTTTTGCTTCATTTTCTCCTTCCCAGCGCTGGGAGGGCTGAGTGAGTGGCTGCCTGGTGGTCGATTGCCCTCTGGTCTCAAACCAGAAGAATCCTAAGTAATGGCTTCTCAGCATATTTATTGTACTTTCAACAAGTTCTAGTTACTCATCAGAAACAAACTGCAGTGCTCTAAGTCACTAGTTAAAAGATACTATTGGCCTTGATTTAGAGACCAATTTAATCCTTTCATTTTGTAAGCACCTTTGTAACTTTTTCCTAGAAAAACTTACTAATCTTTGCATGATAACTATTAAGATTTAACTTAAAACTGTCTTAATTATAAATGGATTCATCTGTTACCAAGGAAGATACATCTGCTTCTTATACGTTTATGTTTTTCAGGTTCACGCTTGTGTCCTTCCAGATTTTAAGTAGCAAATTATCTTGTTGCTACTCACAAACTGCAAAGCAAAGGAGCCCTTTATGACTTTCCAGCACCCATTCCATTTCTTACCTTGGATTACGCAAATCGTTGAAAAAAAATGCGTATAGGGACATATTACCCAGGTTGCAAGCTACATGTACTGCAGGGCCAGAGCAAGCTCCGGAAAACAGCTTTAGCAACTGTGCTGCATTGAGGGGCCAAGAGCACCAGCGGCACGATCAGGAAGATCTCCATGCCAGCCAGCCCTGGAGCACCTGTACCACCCGTAGTGAGGGCAGCTTCCCCGAGGCCTATGCAGGCGCTGTGCCCGAGGTAAGGGGCTTCCCCCGAGCCCGTGCTCCTTGGAGCGGTATCCTGAGGGAAGCTCTACCCGGCCGGCGCTGCGGAGCCGCCCTTTCCCCCCTCAGCGCGCGGGGAGGCGGGGCGGCTCTCTCACGCCTTCCCGCCCATTCTCCGCGCTCTCGGCTGCGCATGCGCGCGAACTCCCGCGCCCTCCTCGCATGCGCAGCACGGCGGGCTGCGCCGGGCGCATGCGCGGAGGCGGCCGGCGCGGGGTGAGGGGAGGGGGTGCGGGGGGTAGGCGGTGGCGCGATGGCGGCGGCCCTGGCGCTGCTCTGGCTTCTGGCGTTGCCGCTGCCCGATGGCGCCCGCGGCTCGGAGGCTGCGGGGACGGCGGAGTCGCCGGGCGGCGCGGGCCCCGGGGAGCGGTTTAAGATCGAGGGCCGGGCCGTGGTGCCCGGCGTGAAGCCGCAGGACTGGATCGCGGGGGCCCGGGTGCTGGTGGACGGGGAGGAGCACGTCGGCTTCCTGAAGTGAGCGGCGGGCGGGGCGGGGGACTCGGGCCCGGCGGGGCGGGAGCCGCCCCTCACCGGCCTCGGGCCGGTGCCGCTCGGGATTCCCGCCGGCTGCGCGCCCCTGGCGCGCTTGGCGGCCCGGCCGCAGCCGTAAGATGGCGGCCGGCTGTGGCAGGGCGGAGCCGCTCCCCGCGACTGAGCGGCCTGGGCCCGGTTCGCGGCGCGCAGCGTGGGGCGAGCGTCTCCCGCCCGATTTTGGCTTCGTTGGTACCCCTGCACCTGCACCTGCACCTGCTCGGGTTAAACGGAACGGCCAGGCCTGCAGCGGGAGCCGGTGGGGCTGTCGGTGAGGGGGTGCGGGCCTAAACGAACGGATTACTGAGGCTGCTGGCTTTTTGGCGATCAAAAAATTGGAGCGGATTTTTAATAAAATAAAACACAACCATACAAACACGTTTACATTTAATTCTGGAGTACAGTGTTTGTTCTCAGCTTTTGTAGGTGCAAATACTGTCACTGTTGAGACCCACTCCTTAGCTAAGCTTTTACTCATTCTGGAAGAACGTCTGTGGCAGAAAGCTGCAGTTGTAGTTACCTATTACAGTACCTGTGAAAAACTTTTTCACTGTACCAGTAAAAGCCATTTCAAGGGATATGACGTTGTGCTTCACATAAGGTCATGCAAATGCATTTGGAAGCTGCAAAACGTCACGTTAGATTGTTCAGCCTCGGGTTGTAGTGGATGTGTTCAGGTCAGCAAAGGATCTCGAGATATCAAAACGTGGAAAATATCCTCAGAATTAAGAATTGAATTTATCTGATGGTTTCAAGAGAAGAGGTTAAGTCTAAAATACTTTTTATTATTTTTAATACAGTATAATACACTTCTTTTAAAATTATGTATTAAAGTGAGAAAGTTTGTGTGGAATTAAGATATAGCATCTCATAAATACCAACAATTTCTAATTATTCCCTCTGCAGTAAAAGTTGAAGTGATATTTGACTCTGGGAACTGTCGTTAGGTTAACACAACAGATTTTACTCTGCAAAAGTTGCGGAATTTTGTCAGTATAGCACCTGATAAGCCAGTAAAACCAAGTTGTGGGAGCCTGACACCGTGTTTAGGAACTGATTTAATAAATACCATGCAGTTAGTAAGTTTCCAAATGCTTGCTTGGAATTTGAGTTGTCTGAAATATGAGCTAAGAGCATACCATATTTATGAGAGTGTAAGCTAGATAGCTTTATTGCTTATGTTAATTTGATAAGTTTTATTTATAGACTATCAAATTACATTGTTATAACTTAAAGCCAAACAATAAATACTATATAGGTTATTCAGTTTGATAAATATATTTGTAGATGTTGCCCTACCATAAGCATGGTACCTTTTAGCAAAAATTCTTTAATACTGGTTGGGACTTTTTTTGTCACTTGTAATAAGTGCAAAATTGGATGGCATTATACTTTTAGTAGGAACTGCATTAGAAGAAAGAACAGTTTTCTTAAATAACGGTATTTCAGGCTCAGTAGAAAGAGCCTTCACTTTCAGTGACAGATCTTTTGATATACCAAATACATTTAAATATATTTGTCACCACCTTTTGTCATCGTGTCTTAGGCAGGTTTTGATTATATATTACATGGATGCCATTCCGGTTATCAAAAAGAGGAAAATAATTATTTGACATGACAAAGTTGATTTTTGAGTATTTCAAGTCATTCTCTAGTACAAGTGTTTTCATAAGTCTGATCAACTTTCTCACTATAATAAAAATTAAACTTTTTTTTCTTCTAAAAGGTAGTATTGGATACTACTATATGAAGTGAGATTTTGCTTTGTCATCTAAATATTTTGGAAGCAACTGTAATTGAATTTTATCAAAATAATACTGTAAAGACTAAAAAATTAAAATTCCTAGGGAAAGATCTTTACAACAGTAGCAATATAAGATAGTGTAAGCATTCTTAGAGGTTCAAATACTCACATAAAGTGTTAGTGAAACCCACCTACCCAGTACTGTTTATATGCTTCTGTCTTCATGGTAGGAAGGTCCTTCAGTGATGTACATCTTTGAGAGCGAGAACTTGTGTGAAGGACATACAGACAAAATTCTTTTTGAGGGTTGACTTTTAAAAGGGTTCATTTATTTGTTTTCCTGATGCAAGTTTCTAAAGTGTCAGGTTTTATTACTTTTTTTCCTCTTTGAACATCTTCTTTTGTTTTAACTTTGAGTCTTAATTTTAGGGGAGAGATATTTTTTAATATTAATTTTAAAAGGATAGAGAACGCTAGGTTTTTCTTCCTGGAGACTTCTGGAAGCATGTAGGAGGAAAACTACAAGCTTCTATACTTTAACGGCAACTGGTGCCGAAGCTTTCAAGTATCCTTTTACTAATATTTTCATCGAATATTAAAGTTTCATATTTTAAAATAAAAGCAGTCTGTTTAAAGATCCCTTCTATGTGTATGTTCGGAGCTCTCAGTTTCCTTATTGTTGTGGTAGAGCTTTCCAGTGTGGGCTAGTCCTAAAAGGAGCAATTAAACCCCTCTATTTTGTAATAAAGGCACAAACTGCAATTTTTGTGCATTGCAAGTCATCTCTAACATCTACCTACGCTATGTAGGATGTCAGTTTTGGTGGGTTTTGCTTCCAGTAAAATACTGAAGCAAAGTGAACTTCATTGTGTGTGTTTCAGAAGGAGGAAGGAAGGTGTAAGTTGATTCTGCCATCATTTGAATACATGAAATCTTAACCATTTCAGATTTTACTTAGGCTGTTAAACTACTCCTACAGCAAGACAATAGCTGGAGGGCATGAGAAAATCTTTAACCTCATTGTTAACTTCAGCTACTGTTGTGGCACATGGTGACCTTGAGCGGCTTGATATTATGGGTGCTGAATGATTTAAATTTTCCTTTTGCTCATTGTTGTTCTATTAAGATTTATAATATAAAATAATATTACAGTTTATTATTTTAAAAACCCAAACAAATAACCCTCTATTGTGTACTAGAGCATATTGAAATGTAGTGGAACTTACTGTTATTTCAGGACCGATGGAAGTTTTGTGGTTCACGATGTACCTTCAGGATCTTACGTAGTGGAAGTTATATCCCCTGCTCATAAATTTGAGCCTGTGCGAGTTGACATAACTTCAAAAGGCAAAATGAGGTGAGCTTTTCCTGATTTGCTTCTGTATTCACCTATTAAGTATGCCTGACAGCACAGTACAGGATGTAAACAGTGCTGTAGATCAGATGTTCCATTTCTGACCATATGTTTCAGCTTCTTTTAACATCACATCTAGGAGCACATTTCTTAAAATCCAAAGTCTGATTTCTTTCTTCCTTTCTTATTTATGGCCTTAAATAAGAGGAAATGGCTAAAAAGAGTCCTCCTATTTGTTTACTTTTGTTATTTTCTTATACAGATATCCTGAAATAAAATGTACACATAAGTCAATTAATGGCTTTATCTTTCTAAAATATTTCTGTTACACCTCCATAAGGTACTCCTTACAGTTACTGGCAAATGCTAGTAGTTGCCACCCTGCAGTATTTCTGTAGCATCATTAGCTTTTTTTTCCTGTTGCGGTCAGTTACATTATCCTTAACAACTGTAACCATACATCTGTAATTGCATGCTACTTGGTAAGTAATACAGAGAAATGGCTATCCTATCTAATAAGGTGATTTTGAACATGTTTGTAGTTACTTTTTTCTTCGTACAGGCACACTTTCGACTTCAAGTTTGTCTTTTACGGTACCTAATAAAATATGCTGTTACTTTACAGGAATACAAACTTCAAGATAAATGCTGCAGCAGTATTTTTAGGGGAGCTTAAACATTGAAGTCTCAAAGCTAAAAACGGTGCCAACAGTCTGTTTAGAATAATAATAGCGCAGCTTGTTCGTGCTTAGATTTTTTCCCAAACTTTATGAAATTTTTATGCTTTGTTAGACAGTATCTCACTGGCAACAACTACTATGTAATAAATACAGAAGGGACTCAGTGAAATAGACAAAATAGTGTGTGTAACCTCTCAGCACTGTGTTGGTATCTGAGGGCTAGAAGTAACAAATTTGACATTAAGTAAATTGCTGGAATATGTCTGCAGAGCAAAGTACACGTTAGATTGACATCTCTACCAGTGAAACATGTAGAAACTATAAAGAGGAGTAGAGTTGGGAGACGCGTGAAAAAATGTGAAACACAGGGAAAATGTTAACTGAGCTTTCCAAAGGGAAGTTCTGCGTTAAAATGCTAGAATTCTTAGAGGAAACAGCATGTAGATAACATACATGTTTGATAAGATCTACTTGAAAATCTTGAAAGCTTTTGAAGAAAATACATAGTCATAAGGTAAGAAGGAGGGACATTCTGTGGATGAATATTGGTGAAAAATTCTGAAGGAATAAATGATTTCTCTTGCAATGGGCAGGAGGCATCCCTGGAGTTGTACAAGGAGTTGTAAATATTCATAAATCATGAAAAATGGGTGAAGAGTGACAGTTAGACGACAGTATCAAGTAACTATCTAAATACCAGGCCCAGGTGAAGAATACTAGGAAAGAACTATGGAAAGACCTTATAAAGTAATAAAGACTGAGATTTAGTATTGATAAATGCAAAGTAATGCACTTAGGGAAAAGGTAGTATTAATATAAAAATAGCTATTGCCTGGAGCAAGCTCTGTTTAAGCTAAACTACTGTTCAAAGCTGTGCCTTCTCTTTAAATATTGTAGCTTTTTTTGCTCATTACCCTGGTGAGGAAAAATGTTTTGCAGGAGTCACATTTGAAAAAATAGTTCTGATATTTCTGATCTGCAAGTCTCTTTTCCATACAAAGTTTTTCAGCATGCTTTAATAGCTAGCCTGGAAAAAAGGCAAAGTATCATTTGATGCCACAAAGGGTGTTACTGAGAGAAATTGGCTTCTAAGAAGTGAAGCCTGTCTGACACTGCCTAGCAGATAGTTTTGTTTGTAGCCTATTATGAAAACTTTACTTGGAATATTATTAAATATTTTTTTTTTGTTGTTGTTAAAGCTTGTATTTATATTTTTAATTATTTACGTTTTGCCCATTAGAGCAAGATACGTGAATTACATCAAAACCTCTGAAGTCGTCAGGCTGCCATACCCACTGCAGATGAAATCTTCTGGACCTCCTTCTTACTTTATAAAGAGAGAATCTTGGGGATGGACAGATTTCCTCATGAACCCTATGGTATGTATAGGCAACAGACAAAGGTTAAAAGTATGCTAGGGATGCAAGTGTAGCTATTCTTCAGAATACAAAGGATAAAATAATGGAGAAAATCTGTGCACACTTTGCTCTTCCGAAAGGATTGGTTTATTTCTTTGGTTCTTACTTGTTTAAAATAGAAAGTTTTTTTCTGTAACCTCTCTTCCCCTACATACCCACCCTGTTAAACATACATTCTCTGGAAATAGCCCATAGTCTGATTGCTTTGAAAACATGATGTTGTTCTAGTAGCGTGAAGATCATCACGTTGCAGGACTGTAATTATAACAGTTGAAAGACATAACAAACATTTACTTTATTGGTCCAACTTTGAAATCTGTTATTTAAAACTTAATACCTCCTTATCAGGTTTATTTCCTGACCAGGGGGTTACTGTTAGATGAGTTACTGACTCAGAATGCAGTAGTTGTAGAATTCAGCTGTTTAGCTAAAGCTTTATGTCAGTATGTCTAAAATATGTTTGGAGCAACAAACGAGCTGAAGAAGTACTTGCTGTTTCCTGTGTAGGTGATGATGATGGTTCTTCCATTACTGATATTTGTGCTTTTGCCTAAAGTTGTCAACACCAGTGATCCTGATATGAGACGGGTAAGTACATTCAGTTGGTGCAGACATAGAGAACAAAGATGATGAGATTTTAAGGTACAGAAAAGTAATAAAACTGGACTTTTAAAGAAGCCCTAATGGGCATCGTTTATCCAGTTAATACAGTGTTGCTGTTCTAACAATTAATTCTAACATTTCCAACTCATTAATTTGCTGTTAAACAGCACAACACAGAGTTCAGTTGTTTGTCACGGCTTTGAAAGTATTATGGTATTATACAGTATGAGTGGTATTTTCTAGAGTTTCTTTAGAACGATAAATTTTAATTTGTCAAAGGCTATTTATAAAAATAGAAACTGCCAGTGTATTTCTGCACTATGTTTAAATCTAGCGCTTCATTTTTAGGCATCATTTATTAAGTGTCAAGTGTGTTGAGAAGAGTATGGTGTGGGGGTTCTCTTATCCATCAATCTAAACCACATCATTTACGAGACTGTTAAATCCAGATGTCACAATAGTGCATATAATAATGGAGTCTTAATGTAGTCATTAAATTATCTGATTTATTGTCCCTTCATCATGCAAAATGCCGAATAGCAGAAGGCTAGGACAAAATGGAGATTCAAGGTGTTTGCTAATTCTTTTCTTGTCTGTCTTGGGTGGCTGCTTTTTGAGGGCTTGGTTAATTTAAACTCCTTTTCCTCTGAATGACCACTGTCTTCAGTAGTACTTTACAGGTGTTTGAGTCTTTTTTTAAAGTAATACCCATAAAAAGAGTATCTGAGCTATACAATACTCTTTTGGCTTTAATTTTGATTAAAAACAGGATATGAAGATATGCTAGATAACCGTGGCAAGTTCTTCAAACCAAGCTGAACTTTAGAAGTTGATTTTTAAAAAAATCACATATTCCTTACTTTTTTCTCTGATGGGATGCTGCTTACAGACAGGCTGTTCTGATGGTAAACCATCAGTATTTCTGATGATTTAGTTCTTATTAGCTGACTGATATGACTTGGTAAGGAGAAATTTTAAGTTGCAGGAATCTTGCTTGTAATTTAAATTATCTTTAAAAAATAGGAGAAGGTAGTTTTTAAGAACTCAGTTGTAATAGCATTCTCTAGATGACCATGTATTAAATTCTTAAGTGTATATCCAGCTTCAGTTTGCTTGTGAAGGGTATGGAGCTTATATTACATTTTTGAAGTTAGCTTGTTTTTTCTTTATGGAATCAGCGCAGTACTAGTTTATATATAAAGTTAGTGGTTTAGTAACTGTGCTTGTTGTAGAGGCTTTAAGTGCAGATGTAGTATAGATGCAATAGGAACAAAGGCTACTATAACAGCTTTTGCTTCATTTGTACCTTGAAAACAGTTAAAGCTATATCTTCCTGAATGGTAACTAGAAGAGCAAGGCGACAGTCATGCATTAAGTGGGCAACTACTATAAGCATTGCACTGTGGATGTGCAGTTCAGCTGTTGTATGCATTAAAAGTACTTCAGGGTTGGCTTGTTTGTTTTAAACTGTACTAATTCATCTCATAGAGCCACTATGCTAAACTCTAAAGTTACATTAAGCTTTGCTGGGAAAATGGTCTCATATTAAAATCGTTCCTTTCATGAAACAAAGAAAACTTAGCCACTGTACACCACTAGCTTGATGTTACAAAGTAGAGCAATGAAAATACTTAATCCCTTTAAACAGGTTCAAAAATTTGCTAGATTTAGCATAAATAATACGAATTTGAAAACACAAAAGTATGTGAAATCTATGAGAACACAGATCTGAAAACTAAACAAAAGCTTAAATTTTAAAATGGAGGAAAGTAATGCTGAAAATAAGTAATGGCATTGGGTTTATTTTAGATTTTTTATTATTATTATCGGTTGCCTTGTAAGACTGCTTAAGACATGGTTACCTTTTTCTGTACACCAGTGCTTTTAGTTTTGGGGTTTTGTTTTATGTTTCTGTCTGTAGTGGGGTGTTTGGCTGTGGTTGCATAAAAATACATAGCAATATGTACTCCGGAGAAGTACAAATAGTAAAACAGTATTTGGGAAAATTTGGCATCTTACTGATACAGTCTTTCAACTGATGCCTTAGAAACAGCCAGAGTTGTTACTAGCTATTAAGGTTCTCTAATCTTTGTGTGCAGGAAATGGAGCAGTCAATGAACATGCTGAATTCCAACCATGAGCTGCCAGATGTCTCTGAATTCATGACAAGACTTTTCTCTTCAAAATCTTCCAGCAAGTCTGGTAGTAGCAGCAGTAAAGCAGGGAAAAGTAGTTCTGGGAAAAGGAGGTAGTTAAGTGTTCCTCCTAAGCCTGAGTTTGCACAACTGTTTGTTATGTGGTATCATGTTTATTTGTCTTGAAAGATCAAAAAGCCACTACTGTAAATCTTAATCAGGCACAAAATACGGTATGCTACAACTGTGGTGTGTAGCTTTTTTTAGTCTATATAAGCTGTTTTGTACTTGACAGTGAGCAAAAGAGGACATGGCTTCAATCCTGTATCTGTATAAAGTTATTGATGATACTGAATTAACTATGTTGTTCTGTAGAGAATTATTATAAATTATATGATGTGCTAAAGAGTAATGAATGTCTTATTATAAGACAATGTATGAAAAGAAATTCAAAGATAATAGAAATGGAGTTCAGTCTTAAGATGGCTTTAATGTTTCACACTTTCTGTAGAGTTCTGAAGTGAACAAATTTCCTTTGAAAATTGAGTTGTGGGTTTACTAAGTTGCTGTATCAGCTGGTCATATATGTTACATATAAAATAATTTTATTTTACATTGTTTGCTGCATGTACACTTCTGTTCAAGGACTTTCCACTTTTTATTGCCCAGTTTTATTCTGATCTACTTTCTGCTAAAAACTCTTTGCGAGGGGGAAAAGCAGAGCATCCTGCATCAGAAAGTCTTCTAAGCTCTATAAGGTTAATTATGAATCTAAGGTATCTGTATAACATGATGAATATTTATCTTGGATCTTTCATTTCTAAATCACATGTATCACTTCTTCAGCACTTTTGGTTTCTACTGTTTTCAGTGTGCTGTGCATTCATCTTATCAATGGTAAGATTTGAGGCCAAATACAGAACAAAATGTTAAAAATTGAAGGAAAGACCTAAAAGTATAGTAGGAAGGTAAATCCCACTCAGTTTTAAAATTATGTTCCAAAGTATATGACTATCTCTAGGTATGCTGTGTCACTGGCAAAACTTTGAGCATGCCTGTGTGCCTGTACTACAATATTTTTTCAAGCTGTCCAGTAACTTCAGAGAAAAGTTGAGAAAATTGACCTTTTTTCACTAGATGAACATTTGCAAATTAAAATGACAGCAATACCCACCAAACACACTAACAACTGTCTGAAAGTCTTTTTTTGTTGTCTGTTTGGGGGGTTTTTTGGTTTTAGCATAAATGCTGTTCTTTTCCATTTTTACAGTTGCTAACTTCTTAGTGTCTGTGCAGTATAGGTAATGTATATCTGATTCCAAAAATGGTATTTAACATTCACCTAAAGTACACATGAAGCAAGATCAATTCTAATGCAGTACAATTTGTTCTTCCAAACACATAGGAAGACTATAAATGGTCTTAAAATACATACTTAGAAGTATGCTCTGAAACATAAAAGCTGCAAAAGAGTAAGTACTCATTCATAGGATTAATTCAAATTTTAAGATGTTGGAGAAGAAATAAACCAGTATTTTTTGGACAATGAAAGCTTTCAGTCTTTGTAAAGTAAGCTGCACATTTTTAATCTTGGTTTTGTTTTGCTTGAGTGGTCTTTTTGTTTTGTATATTAAGTAAAATATAACCAACAGAGACAGGAGGATTTTTGGATATTCTTGTTGGAAGGGTTTACTGAAATGGGTTGCCTCAACAACTCAAAACAAACAAACTACGAAACAAACAACTAAAAAAAAAACCCCAAACCCAAAACCCAACCCCTTCTCTTTCAGCAGCATCTTACTGAAAAATTCATAGGAAAACCAGGGAGCAGTTCTTCAAAAATTGAGCAATTAGCTTTGTTACTATGCTGTCCTGGAAAGTACAAGCCACAAGTTACTTTTGTTTAACAGTAATTGGAATGACAATTAAATTGCATTAACTTGTTTTAATCACAGTTTGTTTGATAATTAATCACACATGTGCATTTTTCCTTGGTACAAAGGTAAGAATAACAGTATTTCTGCCATCTTTCATTGTGTCTATTCAAAGTCTTGATCTGTCTTCAAGGGAGAATGGAGAATTCAGGCCATGAAAAGATGAAAGTCTTTGTTAAGAGTTCAGAGTAAAAAAATTGACAGGAATTGTAAGGATCCTAATAAAACTTTGGAAGGAGCGTATAGAATATTCAACACTGCTCTTTTTCTTAAAATTGATATATGAAGGTCCAGGCGATTTCTTTGTGCATCAAGATCAGATGCAGTGTACCACTCCCCTGCCTTCAACAGAGAACTCTGTAACAGAAGACTCTACCCCACCCCCAGAAACCTGTTATCTGAACAATCCAAGCCCAAAAATCTTGTTACTTGATGTTACTACCTCAGTCGTGCATGCTATTCCTCTCCTTTTCAGACACCTTTGTGATAAAGTGTATTAGTCTGCTGCTGAAGTAATGCTAGTTACATTGGTACCAACTTATTTGAGAGCTTTCCTATTGCAGTTACTAGTATAATGCAGGGTTGTCTTCATGCAGAAAGTAAATGCCTGCTGTAGTTCAGTTTTAATTCCTTGTCATTATTTACCGATTTTTAGTAGTCTGTCTTCAGTGTTAGGTCTCACATCTCTGTTTTCCCAAAAACCATAACTGCCTTTTAGGGAGGCTACTTGAGATAGCATAAGGCAGATGGTAAGTTGAAGCAGCTGATATATCAGAACAGAAATTAAAGTTGTACAGGATTTGCTTAGACTACAGACAAGCTGATTTCCTCTGCCAGAAGAAGGAAGACGTGCTCCTTCAGCTTGGACTGGATAATCCTGCTGTCTTCTGTCTACAAGGTCTGGTACATCTCATGATTTGCCATTCTTTGACTTAACCAGAGACGTTTGTCCATATTTCTGCTGAATTTGTTACGTTTTTAGAGTTAAATCAGCTCACAGAAGGATCAAAGGAATACCAGAGCCAGCAGAAAGTAAGCACCAGAGCCATGCAGTCAAAAGCAGGAACTGTTCTCTGTTTCTGGCAGAGTGTAATGCAGTTAATTCACTGCACCTGAGGGATTTGCAGCCTAAGAGCTCATTTGGCCATGTTCTGACTCAGTGGGCAGCTCTTGAGCTTATGGCAGGCTGTGTAGGAGAGGAGACACAGTCTGTTTTGCCAAAGTCTGTTTCAACTATGAGTTATTTAAGATGGCCTGGAAGGTGTTCAGAACAGTTTGAAATCATTGTATCAATTACTTAATCAAAGATGCTTCTATTCTTCACCTATAAGGAAGAAATGTAATGTATAGATATCTAACCTCACTCTTCTAAACAAAGAAAATATTCGTTGATGCTTTATCTTTTTAAGGAAGTGGGATGGTAACAGCTCTGTAAATGGTGTATGTATTGTTTCAAAGAGAAAGGCTGGCTTGTGGTTAAGGTTTGTATCTGTGGAGAGGACTTAAAACTCTAGAATCGAGTGCCTTGGATTCTGATGCAACTGTCGGGCTTTCTGCAAACCATTTATGATTTCTATTCCAATTTCTTGTGTATGAAGAATGAGAAACTTGTCTCGCAAAAGTAATTGTAAGGATAAATTCAGTAAAGAGTGTCAGGTACTTGGATAGCATGATCTTACTGAAGAAAATCCAGTAAGTAATCTCAAAGAGCACCTTTATTAAGCATTTACATGTAGTTCTTTATACATATTTATTAAAGTAACCACATGTCATTTCCAAAACAATCTAGGCAATTTAAGTATGTATTCTTTTCCAATTTGGTGAAAAGTGTATTAAATCACTAAGATCCATTTAAACATTTCCACTTGGGTGTTCATGGACCTTTAATTGCATAAAGGTTGTATGTGATCAGTAGCTCAAAGAGGGCAAAGTTTGTTTCACAGTTTGATAGAAGTACCTTGTTTTTAGAGGCTAACAGTGATAGTAGTACCTTAAGGTACTAAGAGGATTTCACTTTAATTTTTAAGACATCATGTCTGACCTTAATCCTGCTGCTATTGATAGTAGATGACAAATTTGTTTTCCTGTGATCTTTTTGTTTCATTTGAAACTTAATTCTTTTTGGAAAATAACCAATAGGAAATATAAATAATAATAGATCCTGAGAGGTAATTCATGGTTTTCATTCTAACACATCATATCTATATTATGCTTATTTAATGAACTGAAGGAGAATTGAAGTGTTTACTGTTGATGTGCTAAGGAATACAGAACTTGAAATTTTGAACTTCAGATCAGTGGCAAAGCAGATTTACTGAAGAAAGTATGTTGAAAGGCTACATTTTGCACATTCTTGGGCAGGAAAAGCACAAGGTGCACAGGTGGTGCACAGGGCATTGGAAAGGATCCTATTTACTGGACTTCATTGTGATCTGTGTCTCCAAAGGCTGGTTACTGAACAGGGAACTGGCACTGAGGCCAGCTTGCCTGGAGCGACTTCTGTGCGCACTGTACTCTCCAGAGCAGCACGTAGACACCGCATCGCAGGAGTTGTTTCTTGCCGATGCTGTCTTCCTTACCATATCCAGGAATTACTGGTAGTGGAGGGAGGCTGTTGTAACTTGACATATCCAAAAGTGTATTGACAACTATTGCACAAGCTTGGTAATACAAATCAGCAGATCCACATGTCCAGGGAAGTTCTCTGGCAGTGTTTCATTTAGTAAGACACTTGAAGGCGTAGATGATTGAAAGGAGAAAAATTTGGAGAAAGACCCCCTAAGCTAATGTAAGGACATGAAAAAGACTGAAGAAATTTTAAGGATTGCTGTCGTGGCAGATTTGATCCAAGTATTAAGATTTGCAAGAAAATAGCTTAAAAAAAAATGGGTTTGTGATGTTTTCGGCAGTCTTTTAGGTGATTGCAACATTGTCAGTAGTGCTAGCATATATGGGCAAACAATTATAAGAGAGCAAATGAAGATGGCTGGGACTTCATGCCTCATATATGTCTGATGTCGTAACTAGTCACAGTTTTTAGGGGAGCACAGACTTCTGAATTTGCTTATTATCCCCGTGAGTGAAAAAAAAGCATTGTACTTTCCAGCTGGGTAAGATTGCTATGCCATTCAAGAGATAGAGTTCATCAGTCTTTTCATAGGTCACTACATAAAAACTGGGCACCCGTTTAGGGCTCTTCCCCAGATAGTATAATCTAGCCACCAAGCAATCCACCTTTCCCTCACTGTTAGTGTTGGCTTAGTTCTTTGTGATACTCTGCCATTGGACTGACTAAATACAAAACACATTGTTACACTTTAAGTGCCAGAAAGCCCAAAAAGCAAGTGGTATCAATTGGGGGGGGGGGGGGGGGGGGGGGAAATAAAGAATTTCAAAGATCTTACTGCTTTCATCATTTCAGTGTCTGTAAAGACAGGACCTTAGATCTTAATGACTATTTTGAACTTAATACTGTTTGTAAAATCTGGTGATTCAGGTCATAAAATGATACACCATTCAGGGAGCTTTCAGTCACAAAGTTGTCTGTAGGTATGGTATTGAATTTTAGTCTATTTTGAGGTTAAGCTAGTGAAAATTTCTTGAGGTCGCGAAGAGGTTGGGGTTTTTATTTCTGTTGTTTCAAAATCCATAAAGGATTATGAATCCTCTCATAATAAATATTGATTCTTCAGGAAAACCTGTCTACTTTTGAAATTACAGGGTTATTCCTTCAAATTATGCTGGCAGTGACCCTTGTGTAATACTTTGTTTTCAGTAATATTATGAAGATTTAACGACAATATAATTTTCTGTGCAAGTGGAATTTATCTACTTAGATTGGTTATTGATGCACAAAAAGAGATTACAGTTGAGCTCACTTTTATTATGTATTTGGTTCTGCATGGCTGATAAGAACAAAAATAATTAAAGACTCATTCAGTCAAGGGCAAATGGTAGTGAACATACAACAAAGAGAAAACCTTTCGTGGCATTTTTTGACCAAAACTGGATTTTGAACTGTTTCTTTAAAGCTGAATACAAACATCAAAAAGTAATATAAAAGGTGGTGAAAGTCATTTGAAAACAGAGCAAATAAAAAGGTTTTTAAAAGAATATTTTCTGATTAAAATATTAGAATGTTCTCCTCAGAAGGTCTCTGGATTCTTTAAGAATCTTCTTGCTGTCTGGTGCACACAGGTGTACTGTTTCCCTTCGCGTTTCAGAATGGAGAGAAGGACACCCAACCTCATAGTCTGGTGTGCAGGGCACAGGACTGCTGCTTACTGTGCAGATGCAATGAGAATCCAGTTGAATACTTGGAGTAATACTTCCTATTCCTGGGATTGGAACAGACTAAGACTTTGAACTAATTTTTGGGAGTGGGGTGGAGTGTTTCTTTTCCTACCAGTTTGTTTTCTCAACCATCTGTAGATGCTTCAGCTTGCCACGTGGAAAATATATGATGCATTAATAAAGATATAATTTCTTGACCATGGTAGCAGAACACCCTTCAGGGAAAAGAGTAGCTAAAGAAGTCAGAGATCAAGATTAAGCCTCTTAATGAGGTGGCATTATTGCAGTGCTAAACATCTACAAAGCTCCGATGAGAGGTGAAGCAGTTACTAAAAGACAGGCTTATAGTGGAGTAAATGCAGCATCCATCATATTCGGCAAAAGTGATGAGAATTGAACCATGGTGGTGTTCCTAGGTATGCGATTAAAGGATCCAGATGGTTCTTTCATGAAAATAATGTTTCTGCCTGTAGCTTTGTAGGGGTCACCCACATGCTAGGCATGTGAATCTACAGACAGTAGGGATTCCTTGAGAAACCTTATTTTGTAATCCTCTCATTTTTGGATTTGAATTGTAGTGCTGATACTCCCTCTTTTGTCTTGGTTTGTTTTCCTTCTAATTGTATTCACATGGTATTTACACAGTTTTTCTCTCCTATTTGTCCGTTTTTATGAAGACTACAAGGGTGTTGTTGAAATTGCTGTAGCAAAATCTATTCAGCTGGTGCTGGCAGAAATAATTGTATACATCACTTGTGCTTTCAAGTGTTTCAGTGGTAGCAACCAATTATTTCTATCACCAGGTAGCTAGCTAATGGTGGAGAGGTCATTTGTCCTAGAAAGATCTGATCAAATTGCTGTGATTTCTTTGTAATATGTTTGAGGCTTATTTTATTGTAGAATTTTTTCAAACCCTTTAAGTGTACCCTGTGGAGAGTATCAGAGAGATTGTACAGAGTCAGCCATAGTTCACTGAAAATGCAAGTTTAACAAAATGCACTGTTCACAGTTTTTCCTTTGGGGGGGAAAAAATGAAGAAAATATCCAGAGAGCCTGGGTAGCTCCTCATGAAAAATGTCAGTTTAAATCCCAGTACCTAACACTGTAAGTCACGTGCTGCTTTCAGTCCACTTCATTAGTATCACACAGGAAAGAAACACACTCGAAGAATTTTGCCTCTTTCAATCTTAGATCTGTATTACAAAAAATCTGCATGTTTTCCTTCATACATTGTAGCTGTTTATGCACCTTTTATATATGATGAACTAAACTTGTCCTCTGAAGCTCATTAAGTGCCTTTATAGCTTTGCACTACCTTGTTAGCCTTTTTTAATCTGTACGTTGTTCAAATTTGCTAAACTTTTTTTTGACTAGATAAACTTCCACTTTCTCAGATGTTCTTTGTGGGAAGTGATTATGGCTATAAAGACTTAAATATCTAACTTGATTTAAGCACTGTTTGCAGGGGTTTTTTCTTTAAATGGTGCTTACATTGTCTACATTTTCTTCATGTATTTTTAATACTTACATATAGTTGGTGTTTACATTCTTTTTCTGCCTAATAATTCTTGAATGTTCTGAGTTAGGAATTTGAATAAGCAGGAATTTCTGCAATAGCAACATGTGATACTGAGAATATTAATACAGTTTATCAACAGAAGTCCAAACCATGAAATGGGCTCTGCTGCATTTGCTATTTTTAGCAGTGCTTACTTGCTTCAGTTAGCTCCTTTATGAACAAAATATGGACCAAAATTACCAGTGTGGCCAGGATATATAAATACCTGTGGAAAAATATGTAAATGCATCTGAAGGTCTTGCTCTTCCATGCAGTGATACTTTTGAAGGGAAGTTTAGTACTCTTTCTCCAGCCAATTCAAAGGGTATTGGTCTCAGCTGTTGAACACAGCATTATGGCTATTCCCCATGATAGCTGCAGCTAGTAGGTGATGAAAAACTCCTAGCCTACACTGTAGGAATGTGCTTTTTCAATGTGTGTATGGTCTTGTACTGCTGTAGCACTTCCAGATAGTCTCTGAGTGACCATTATCTATGGCCCAAGTATGCCGTAACCAGGAATGCTTACAATGCAGTAGTTTGGAAAGTTCATTAAGCTAACCAAACTGAAGCAAAAGTAAATAAGCGAGAGTTTAAACCATAACCCTGAGATCTGTGCATGAACTTCCCTTAATTTCTAAATTCTATAGGTTAAGTTTCAAAATCAGTGTGTTAAAGAGATATTACAGGTTTTCTAGTCTGTATAGGTTCTTAGACTATAGGTTCTTAATACCCCAGTTCCTTGAAACCTTTCAGTAGACATTGAGCAATCTAAGTCTTATGATGTGATCTCAACCTCTTGGGGAGAACTGTGGGCAGTGAAAGTTCTTGTTTTAGTAGAAATTTTTCTGCTCCTACCCTATCCACCCCCTGTGTATTATTCACATTGCTATCCATTTTCCTTAAACAACAGTAGGATCAAGAAACTAAGTAATGTAGTTAATGTGAGACAGTGAGATCTGTGATAACCATAATTTCCAAGAGAGATTGATTCCACAGTCAGCTGCACAGACACGTGTGATGGGATAGATGTGTTTTGGGTTTGTTTTTTTTGGTTTGTTTATTCGCTGAACTCATCTGAGAATTTAATTTGTTTATTTAAAGCCTGCCTTATGTTCTGAAGCATTCTTCTTCTGATCCAAGCATTTCTTGCAATGGTATATTGCTCTATATGAAAAGCCCCTCTTTTTTTCTTGGTTTTTTTTTTTTTTTTTTAGCAATGCTACTTCAGCTGTGAGGTTGTTAGAGATCAACAGAAGTCACAGAATCTCTTTTGGAAATGAGATGGTTGCCATGACAATGCTCCCAGCTGCTTCTTGTCCCAGATGAGAAAATCATTTTTAGACTCCTATATTACAAGGTTAGGCTACAATGTTTTAAAATATACAGTATACTTAATTGATTCAAATCAAAGATCAGCACATTGTTTGGTTAAAATCTTTTGGATGATAATTAGCTAAAATTGTTCAGTCAAATATTTGTGCAGGTACTTATAAAATATCCTTTGCTATTTGTTTTTGATCAAATACTTGAGGTAAAACTGGTGCATTGAGATGGAAAATATTTAAATTTTACTGATTTTCCTAAATGTCTTTTTTGTAGTTAAAATTATCCTGAAAGCTGACTGATATCTAGTATAAGTAGTATTTAAAATATGACTCTGAGTTTGAATCATATTTTGAAATATGCCAAATCTGGATCAAACCTGAAATGCTAGATACTTTTAAGGTTTATTATCTCTGAAGTCCAGACAGCTGATGATAGAAGCATTAGTCATTTTGGTGGTCTCCAGTCAATCTCACTCTGAGCGGGATTATCACCAGCACTGGTTCAGTTCAGTCATGCTGTGTCTAGCTAGTATTAAAAACCTCCAAGCATGGAGGTTTCACAGCCCATCTGGGAAAGCTGTTCCCATGCTGCACTACTCCTGGTGAACAAGCTCTCCCAAACGTCAAATTTGAACCTCTCGAGTCACAGGTTGTGCTCATTGCCCATGTTAGACTATGCAATTAATCATGGTAAACACAAAAGCCTGGTGAGATTCAGATGAATAGTGACAGGCAAAGGAGCCCTAGTTAACCTAATCAGTGAAAACTGGAAGACACGGACTTGACTGCTCCTAAGACTACCACAGGAGAGTGATTAGACCATTGTCCCTGATGGGAAACACAAAGAAACTCTCCCAGGACTACTTGAAGAGTGAAGTATTGCCTACAGGGGACTCACTATGGAATGCAGGGGGAATGACACTTTGGAATTGTTTAAAGGTTATTATGGGATTCTTTTAATGGGCTCTGGGAAACTTTCTATGGAATGTTTAGAGAAAAGACCAAAGGTTGGGAAAGGGAGGATTCTGTATAGAGGGAGAAGCAACCCTGGTTTGATTTCTTCTTCACCAGTCGATGCTGAATGCTTTTCGTCACCTTATCACTCCCCAGTTTTTGTAGTTCTCTTACTTTCTGGGTTTTTAAATGTAGCTCACTGTTCCTTATTTATCTTAGTTTTTCTCCTTTTTAAAAGATAGGCCTCTGCTATGCCCACTGAAGTACTCTGGGACCTCCATGACTTCTAAAAGGTAATTATAAATGGTTTAGAGAGGACTTTTCCTCATTCATAAGGTGCCTGTGGAATTTAACCTGTCCTTATCGCTTTGAAAATACAAAACTTCGTCAGTGTCTTTGAGATGTTTTTCGCATAATCTGGCCTCTAGTCTTACTCCATCATTACAATTAATTTCATTAAGTATCTGATCACATTTTATAAAGTCTGCAGTAAAAAAAGGCATCAAATCTGCACCATTTACCCTCCTCCCCCATTAAATAATGGATTTTTGGTTTTTACTTTTTATTTCCAATTCATTTGCAGAATATTTGTCTATTTTTTATGTCCCTTGCTAATGATAACCTTTTTAATTTTAACCTCTAATTTTATTCTAGCCTGTTATTGTGTAATTCCTATATAGTTACTCAGTAAATTGTCCTTTTATTCCACTCATTTGCAGAACTTCATTCTGACTTTCAAATTTTTAAGGAACTCTTGAACCAAACCTCTTGAACTTTTAGTATAGTTCTTATCTTTCTTAATCAGAAATAGTTTGTCACTTCTTGTTCATTATAGTACCTTTTATTAATTGCTAGCCCCCTTAAAGAGCCTTTCTCTCTGAGACTCTTGGCAAGAGAGGATAGAAAATAGTTGCCTGAATTTCTTGGTCTGCTTTTGTTTGTTTGTTTTTAAATATATTGTCCTTACAATGCTGTACATACTTTTCCTTTCCTCAGAATCAAAATTTTTACCATATTAACATAGGTGCCACCTAAATTGCATTTCACACAAATTCTCTCCAACAGTTTTCACCTGCAATTTCTACCACCTTTAGAATAAAAATGTAATATACAAGATGTGTTCTATCATACTCTTTTCTAAAGCTACCTGAGTAACTTAAGTTTTTCATTACCACTAGTCCTATCTGTCAGCTAACCAGTTATTTTCCAGTGTCTTCCATGATGATGGATTTGGATGTATTTTTCAAGTTAGGTCCTACTTCAGTGTTTTTGTTAAAGTGAACCCTTTTCAATTAAGTTTCTACACCTTTAGAATTTAGTGTGTGGTTCAGCAGGAAGACATGAAGAGTGTGTTTTTAGTGTTTACTTCAGACCCTGGAATATTTTCATAAAGAAATAGAAAAAAAAAAGTTGCTGAACATTTGAAAAGTAAAATGTTTCTAAGAGGGAAGCTTTTCTTTTGCTTTACATTCATTCAAAAATATATACCTTGGTTCATTTCCCAAATAATGGTTCATCTCACAAATAATGAATGTGTAAAAAGAGATTTAGAAGCTGTGTTGAAAATAGTCTTATGTGCAATGTGTTTGAGCAGTCAATAACTGCTTTCCGCGTTGTCAGACAAAACACGCATTTCATATGCCATTGCCAGCTCAGAAGTTCAAGAACAAGTAAAAACTGTTAGGAACACTTTTTTCTGTTACTGATCCTATACAAAGATAGGAAAGTGCATTTAGTCAAGGTTGCAAAGTAATTCAAAGTCATTCATCGTTGCAGAAGTATTTCTGTGGCCTGGTTCTGTTGTTTGGGCTTTTGTGTTTTGTTTTGTTTCATTTTTTTCCCAAAGCAATTGCTTGTGCTGTGCACCCATAAAACACAAACCCATAAAATCAGGAAAGATACTCAGTGAGCCCTTTTTTACATTTTATGTGTTTTGCCTTGTCAGAACTTTGTCTCTTAAGTTCCTTAGTATGCTGAACAAGTTTATTGCATGAAAGTTAGCATTTTTACATGTTTCTGGAAATAATACAAAGTCATAAATCACCCATCTCAAGCCCTTTGAAGGCCCTGGATATGCAAGTTGCTAGTCTGTGTCAAAGCTTTTCCCATAATGGCGGGAGATGTCTTGGGCATAGCGATCACAAAATGATAGGGATTTTGATGCTCAGAGAAGTAAGAAAAGGGGTCAGCAGAAGTGCCACCTTGGACTTCGGGAATGTAGACTTTGGCCTGTTTAGGAGACTCGTTGACAGAGTCTGTTAGGATGCATTCCTGAAGGGCAAAGGAGTCCAGGAAGGTTGGACATTCGTCCAAGAAGGAAATCTTAAAAGCACAAGAGCAGGCCCTCCCCATGTGCTGAAAGGCAAGCCCATGGGGAAGAAGATCAGTCTGGCTAAACAGAAAGCTTTGGCTGGAACTCAGGAGGGAAAAAAAAAAAAAAAACAAAAAACAACAAAGATTGTTTATGACTTTTGGAAGAAGGGGCAGACAACTCAGAAGGACTACAAGGATGTTGTGAAGTTGTTCAGGGACAAAAATAGAAGGGCCAAAGCCCAACTAGAACTCAATCTGTCTAATTCTGTAAAAGACAAAAATATTTCTATAAATACATTAGCAACAAAAGGAGGGCTAAGGAGAATTTACATCCTTTATTGGATGTGGGGGGAAACACAGTGACAAAGGCTGAGGTACTTAATGCCTTCTTTGCCTCAGTCTTTAATAGTAAGATCAGTTGTTCTCTGAGTACCCAACCCCCTGAGCTAAAAGACAAGGAGCGGATGAAGCCCCCATAATCCGAGGGGAGATGATTAGCGACCTGCTACACCACTTAGACACACACCGGTCTATGGGGCGCACCCAAGCATACTGAGGGAGCTGACGGAAACCAAGCCACTTTCCATCTTTTATCAGCAGTCCTGGCTAACGGCCGAGGTCCCAACTGACTGGAGGTTAGCAAATGTGACGCCGATCTACAAGAAGGGCAGGAAGGAGGATCTAGGGAGCTACAGGCCCATCGGTCTGGCCTCAGTGCCAGCGAAGGTTATGGAGCAAATCATCTTGTCATCACATGGCATGTACAGGACAACCGGGTGATCAGGCCCAGTCAGCATGGATTTATGAAAGGCAGGTCCTGCTTGACTAACCTGATCTCCTATGACAAGATGACACTTAGTTGATGAAGGAAAGGCTGTGGATGTTGTTTACTTTAGTAAAGCCTTTGACACTGTTTCCCACAGTGTTCTCCTGGAGAAACTGTCTGCACATGGCTTGGACAGTTGTACTCTTTGCTGAGGAAAAAAACTGGCTGGCTGGGCCTGAAAAGTTGTGTTGAATGGAGTTAAATCCATTTGGTGGCCAGTCACAAGTGGTGTTCCCCAGGGCTCAGTACTGGGGCCAGTTCTGTTTAATCTCTTTATCAACAATCTGGACGTGGGGGTGGAGTGCACCCTCAGTAAATTTGCAGATGACACCAAGCTGGGCAGGAGCAGTGATCTGCCTGAGGGTAGGAAGGCTCTACAGAGGGATCTGGGCAGGCTGGATCAATGGGCCAAGGCCAATTGTTTGAGGTTAAACAAGGCTCAGTGCTGGGTCCTGCACTTGGGTCACAAGCTGGTGAAGGGTCTAGAGGACAAGTCTTATGAGGAGCGGCTGAGGGAACTGGGGCTGTTTAGCCTGGAGCAAAGGAGGCTGAGGGGAGACCTTACCGTTCTCTATAACTACCTGAAAGAAGTTGTAGGAAGGTGGGTGTCAGTGTCTTTTCCCAAGTAACAAGTGATAGAATGAGAGGAAACAGCCTCAAGTTGCACCAAGGGAGGTTTAGATTGGATATCAGGAAAACCTTCTTCACAGAAAGGGTTGTGGAGCATTGGAACAGGCTGCCCAGGGAAGTGGTTGAGTCACCACCCCTGGAGGTATTTAAAAGGTGTGTAGATGTGGCACTTAGGGACAGGGTTTAGTGGGGGACTTGGCAGCGTTAGGTTCATGGTTGGACTGGATGATCTTAAAGGTATTTTCCAACCTAAACAGTTCTATGATTCTGTATTTACTGACATAATAATCCAGACTACTAAAGTTAAATTGACACTACTTTGCTCTTGCTAGAACTGATGGCTTCATGATATGGGTTAGATATGGATATTTTTCATGTCCGTTACACAGAGAGTCTGATTGATCAGTTGCAATATAGTATCCTGATTGCCTTTGCAACTAACTTCAGAGCTGGATGCAGTTAGTAAATTGATCAATCTCAGTCAATTTTTTCTTTTGCAAGGGTGTGCCTTGAGTTATTAAAATAAAGAGAACTTGTAAAGAAACTTTCCACATAAGAGAGGCTGCATTGCAAAAATTCAAATGAACGCTTGCCAGTTAGGCTGAGCAGAATCAGAGGGATAGTTAAAACTTCAGCATATTGTAGAGAAGGAATATGTGGTCATTGGGGTGAGAAACTAAGTATCTTGATTAACATGGCTAATAAGTTATTATAATAATGCATTATTTTGAAATCTGTATACAACCAAACCATGCCTATGTAAAGAAGTCCTACCTTGAGATCATTGTATAATTTTCAGGGCTGAAATACTTGATCAAGAGCAGAGAGATGTGTAATGATTTCCATTGTTTTTCAAAGTTTTAATCTACAGAAATAGATGCCTTTCTGAGCATGAGTGGATGAATGCTGTTGCCCTTTCTTCTGTCTTCTAATTAAATGCTTCCCATGTCACTTCTGCTCTGCCAACTCCGATGAAAGTTTGGAAATCAACAAAGAGAAGCAAACATCAAGAAGAATGGGAAGATGGGGGAGGAGATAAACAGTGATGGAAAACGTAGACATCAAAGGCACAAAACAAAGGTACCCCAATTTATATCATGGTGACATGAGACCTATCAATAAATACCAGTGAAGTCAATGATATTTTCTAGAGTGTATCAATATGGGCAGAATGGAAAGGTACCTTCTTCTGCCCTTTCTTAGCATACTATTTCAGCAGGATCTGTATCTGTTCAAAGAACTTTTATTATTTCATAAGCTACAATTTTCTATTTTCACTATTTTCATGCCTTAACTAAGGTTTATAAAGCTTGGTACTAACCAGAAATTATGTATGTCAAACATACAGATATCATAAATCCCCTGAGATGCATAATGCTAAAAGTGGAGAGACTGTGTTCTTAAACTTTTCCCTGTAGCTCTGCTACTGACCAGTGTCAGGGAAGAGATACTGTTCTGACTTCCTGTGGCCATCCTCATGTATAATAAAGCACTGCTTGTACTTTAAAAATGAAGAGAGATATCACTGAATTTTAAATGTTACAAGCAAATCTTCCCAAAAACATTTACTATATGTATTTATTTAATTGTCCATGAACTACAAATCCTCACATGTTGTGCTTTAACTGAGGGTGAATTATAGAAGAACAGAAATTATGGATAGTGCAAATCCTCAAGCAGATCTTGTACAGAATTTAGATGCTCCATTAATTTTAATTGTGGCTTGTTTCAGGGATGGAATCTGATCAAAGTGGGTTGCAAACTGGATCAAAGAGCACAAAAAATGTAGGTGTTGAATCCTCTTGAAAAGGGTAAATTCTGGATTAGAGATCATCTAAAGGCCATGCAGATAGACAGTCCAACTTTCAGATATATAGCAACAATTAATGCATTACAGTTTTCATCTGAATTAATGTCAATTAAATCTTGTTGATCCAAATAAACTAAAATAGAAACCTGTTGACCTGCTTCCCTCCCCCCCCCCCTTTTTAAAGCTCTGAGACACCGCTTCTGATTCATTCGCATTAAAACATGAAGTAACAAGGTTTTTATGGTTGGTTTATTCCTAATACTTAAAAATCAGGTTCTCTATATGCAATTTTAAATATGACTAGCAGTATAGCATCCAGTTAATTCACTCATGCAAAATGACACAGTAAATTTGAGAATCTGCCTGTGTGTATTTAAGCAACATAAGTAATTTTCTTAGCTAAAACCTCTTCATGGTTTTCGATCACTGTGTCTATTTTTTAATCAAGGAAATTTAGTTTAGTTACTATGTTGTTTTAATCCTTATGGAAGAACTTTGTACTTTGTAATTCATACATACTTACTTGCAGGTGTAATATGTCAGAGCGAAGTCCACCAGAGTAAGTGCACAGTGTGAAATAATGAAGATGCAATTTTGCTGCATTTGAGATAGCATGTTGGAGCTGATTTATTCACCTGGACTTAAGTAGCAGGCAAAGTGCAACTGTAGAGTATGAGGTCATTCGTTTTTACACATTTTTCTTTGCCAAGCTTCACTTGAAAGAGGTAAGGTGCCTGCCTAGTGCTGTTTTCCTCAGTTGCTATGTTAATAATTTATAATACCAAGTTCTCTTCTGGAATTAAATGGATCTGTAAATCATTTCAATGTGTAAATATGAGGGAAGAAAAAAGACTGGTTCACTCAAAAATGGTAAAAGAAAAACAAAACAGCTGAAAAATTAACTCCAGATCCAAGTACAGATTTCCTAAAGTTTCGTGAGGCTTGTGGGTTTGGTTTTGATTTTAAGTTATTTATAATATAATAATAATAACAATAATAGAAGCTTTCAGGGGAAAGGATACATTACAGTGAGAAATGCAGGCACAGCAGAACTTAAATGCTCTAAGGAAAACCCTGTGCCAAATTTCCTGGAAGGTAATTTTCCAGTTCATTATGATCCCGATGACAAATGACCAGTTTTGCATAAAATAACAAATCGCATGTTAATAGTGAATCAGAATTATTACTGAATAGTTTCAGATACAGTAGAAAATTCTGTTTTGCTGGTTTTCTGTATGCTAGGTATAAAAATTAACTCTCAAACCTAAAGTTTATTACAATGATTTATCTTGGACATTTAAAAAAAAACGTGCTGAATATTTTTTCACTCTGGAAAACTGCTGAATCTGCTGCTAAGTCATTAGATTTATAAGGAATGTGGCTCTGTTGCAACATAAACCACTGTGGAGAAGGGTACTGGCCTCTGTAGACTGTGTGCTGACGCTGGCAGGAAATAAGCTCTGAACAGTGAGCTGCTTGCTACATCTATTTTCTGCCACTCATCAAAGCCACTGTGGGGAGCTCAGTCCTTAAAATAAAATGAAAAAAAAAAATGAAAAGAGTTTGGCTTAAGTCTAAGTAATTGTGTCCTTTGAGAGTATAGGAAACATTTGTTATCCTGATTCAGTCTAAGCTGTCGTTGATACAGAAGTTCCTCTTCAGTCAAGCTGGGATTTGCCTAAGTGAGGACCCCAGAATTTAGTTCAGTAACAGCCTAAGCCTTCTTGCTATGTTAGATGGAGGGTTGCTAGACATGTAACCCCAAAATGAGGCTCAAAACTGTTTAGATTTAATATAGTGAACCCTTGTGGGGTTTGAAGAAGCTGAAGAAGAGTTCTTTTTGCTTTATTTATTGAACATGTTTTTTTTTTTAAAGCTGATTTAAACCTGTGACCTATTATGTAAAGCTGTAGATTGAAATTCATAACAAACGTAGTCCAGATGTGCTGAAGTGAATTCTTCAGTGCATGGAAATATTCCCAGCACTTGGAAAGTCATATCTCTGAGAACGGTTTGAATTACAGTCATCAGAGTCAATTTATTGTTTCTGACAGTTTGACCATTGCTGCCTCTATTTCGCTACAGTTTGGACTTGAGGAATAAGCAAAATTCGGTTCTGATAAATACAAGATGTGCTTTTTCTTTGTCACTACATTACTTTATGTGGCTTTTTGTCACACACAAAATTACATTATGTTTCATTGCCCAGCATGGCACAGGGTGACAGATGTGAGAGACATTCTAAGTGTTGCAGCACAGTGCTCTGTGTCAGAGGAATGACCAGGCAGAAATAGGGTGTGAGGAAAAGAAGAGGTCCCTGAAAGATGGGAGAAGCCAATTTTTGGCAGAGGCTTACTATATTGAAGCTAAGTATTTCAATACCTTTCTCCTTCAGGACTTTCATACTAAAAGTTGTAAATCTTTACATTTCCAATTCCAGTCTGTGTAACAGTTCTGAATTGCTGCAGGAGGACTGACTTGGAAGGAAGATGCTGTTGACGAGCTCAGTGGGATTTATTCTGTTCTTACTCTCTCATTGCGTTGTGTCAGTGAGCACCAAAGAGGCAGTGGTCTTGGCTAATGCCCACCTTCTACCCCAAAGAGGCTATGAGAGACTGGGTAACGCCAATGAAAAAGGTACTCGTGAAGACAGTGAGTGATCTGGATGCATGCTGTGTTTTATTTTATTGCTTTGCTGTAACATTTTCAGCCAGCGTGTCTGAAAGTTAGCCCTGCAAAAATACTTTTCAATGTGAACATATCCTGCCCCAAAGTCCAAAATCTTTAAAAGCCTTGCTTAGCTGCCATCTAATTCAGAAGAAATTAACAGTATTTTTATAAAAAAAAAATATTTTATGGCATTTGAAGACTTATTCTTGGGACAGTTATATCTAGATTACATCTGACACCTCAGTACCTAAATTCCATTGGTACCTATAACTGAGGCATCCCTCTGCCTAGCTAGCTTGCAAGGTCTGGACCTTAGGTCTTGTAATACATTAGGTTTTATAATACATAATTAGGTTTTCTAATACATTTGCCAGAGTAGATCCCACATAAAATATACACAAAAAAGAGTAGTGGGATTGATTCATTTTCCTCCTCTGACTGATGGCACTTGAGGTCTTATAAAATTCACTTTCCAAGTGAATCCTGTAACAACAACCTAAATGATTTTCTCATTATCTGTTGATAGAGTTTGTTGTATTTTGCATGAATAATATTCACTGAGAAGGGCAAATATAAATGTCACTGTATATATTGCTGTCTTGGACATCACTATATAAATCGCTTAAATAATCAGTCTATAAAATCATGGGATCAGGTTTGGAGTCAGGCGATGTCTACTAGGGGGATGTTCTAACTGCTGGGGTACAGAGTCATGTACAGAGTTCTGCTTTTTCGGGATATTTAATAATACCATGCAGATAGTATTGAGATTTAAAATACTCTATTAGTGTCTGTGGATTTTATTAGGCAATGAAAGGCATAAAAGTAAGACCTTGGAAAGCCTATATACTCCTGTAAATCTGTCCTGAGTGGCTTAGAAGTACCAATAATCTTTTAAATATCAAATATAAAAGACTATATTTAACACAGTACTGTTACGATGAATAATACTATTTAAAAGGTTTAGTCCATCTGGACTTCTACAAAGCCTATGATACAATACTTCATACAATATTAAATCAGAGGAGGCAGGATTACATTATAATTTCAGTAGAAATTGAAAAGAAAATGACAGTGACTTGAGTAGAAAAGTAATCCATAAAGTCAAGGTGAGACTGGAAGTATTTGCTTATAAGTGATCTTTTCAGTATTCTTATTAAATATAGTGATGCAAAAATATGAATATGCTGATAAAATGTAATGATAACATGAAGTAGAGAAATGCCAATACAAAAAATCAGACTATTACACAGAAAAAAAAAAAAAATCATATGTTCTTAAGTAATACCATTGGGATGAAAAATAAGGTACAAAATTATAGGTTTTACTGTAAGGTGAGGACCTTACCAGTTATAAAGATCCAAAGGCCAGACTCTAGATTAAAGGAAACTAAGCAATACAAATGCAATCATAGAATATATCAACAGATATTTTTCAATAAGACTTGGGAAGAATCAGTGGCACTATATAAGGCCATCTGCAATACTGTGCAAATTTTACCAACATTCTAGGAGATTCATTTGCAGTGAAGAGGTGCAGAAAAGCTACTAAGATAATTAAGGAACAGAAGAATTATCTTGAATTAAATAATAAAAAGAACTATTTAACCTAACAGAATTTACCCTAACAAAACAAAGGCTGATTAAAAATATAGTTGTCCTCATGGTACATCAGGGCTTATCACCCAGGAAGAAGCACTATTTAACTAAAGGACAACATGACACAAGGAAGAAAAAGATGGACAGTGGACAGTGATAAAATTAGACTAGGAACCAGTTGAGTATTTCCAAGAGTAGTGACAGTTTCTGAAGTCTACAATGCTTTCCAGTTGGAAGAGAAGAAATGTAATAATTCTTTGAAGAAGACTGCATGATATAATTCCCTACAGGACCAGTAGTAGATAAAATAGTCACTCATGGTCCCTTTCTCCTTCCAGAAAGTTGGGGTGCTCTTTTTTTTTTTTTTTACACTAACCAAACTGTTCAGTGTACTTTTTTTCTGTTGGTCTCAACACCATACAATGAGATTAACTCTTTTCAGGCTCTGTTTGTGTGTTCAGGAAAAGAAAAGCAATGTGGTCAGTAAAAGGGACGGCAGAGGTTCTCTGGTCAGTGTTTTGGACAGAGGAGAGTTTTTTCTGAGCTTTTATTTTAAATTTTTATCTTTGGAAATATTTTTCCTTAATCATTTTTTGCAAATTTTTGAAAAAAAAAATAGGACATCTTGCCATAGTTTTCCTGAATTATCCCAGTTTCACAGACGAAAAACTTAAGTTCTAAATACAGTATCTAAATTCCTATCAGTCATTGTCAGGACAGAACATAGGATTTCATAGATCTGAAAACTGTCATTTTACATCACAGGTGGTCTTGTAGGAATTTTTATCATAGAGATACTAAAACTGTCAGGTTTTTATTAAATATAAATTGCACATATTCCATAGTATAATGACATAATGACATGCCTTTCAACTATATGGAAAAGTGAGTGATTTCAATTCATAAATGTGTTTCTGAGTAATGGAACAGACATTGAATAGCATCCTTCTCTACAGAAGGAATCTTTTATATATGAATTCATACATACATAAATGTATATTTAAATTATATCCTGGCTCTTAGAAGTCTCACAATCAATTGTAAAAAGCAGAGTATTGTGCCTTAGTCTCAGAAACACTTGATACTATACTACAGCAAGAAGTTACCTTATAAGCAAGTTACATTTAAAAAACACAGTATATATATTTCAGCCCAACAGAGAGGGTCATCTCAAGGATTATATGCCATTTTTATCACCCCCTGAGTCTACTGGATAAGCAATAAGTGGAAAAGCACTTTCACCTACTTTCCTGATATTGGTATTCAGCACTGCACAGCACTGTAGTTCCACCTGCAAATCAGTGGTAAGATTTAGCCTGGAGTTTGAATCATGAGAACTGTTCCTAAGAAAATCCTCAGATGTTTATAAGTTTTGTATTAGCAATAAATGTGCTTTAATATCTCACTTTTATAAATGAACACATGGCATAGTTATTGGAATTTGATGCAAGGATGTTATAGATGCCTGAAGCATAAATTGGTTAAAGAGAAATTAGATTTATTTGTTGAGGATAAGGCTAGCTCTAGTAATTAAACACAATGGTCCAACACAGGGCACAGGGAATTGCAAACTTTCCGACTACTCAAACTGCAAGAGTGCAGGAGGAAAAGGAATGGTCTGTACATAACTTTTAGCTTTTCATCTACATTTCTGCCATAAATGCAAAATCACTTTAGCTGCCCACCAGCTGGGATAAAGTCAGAGTGGGCTTCCAGTCCAAAAGCAATTGTTTACTCGCTCTGAATGACAGAATTCAATATTGAAAATTTACTATTTGAACTGAAATTTACTTTAAAACTTCTTTTTTTTTCCTTCTCAGACTATCCAAGGGATTGTTTTGAGATTTTTCAGCGCTCCAACGGAAATTCCAGAGATGGTCTTTACATCATCCAGCCAAAGGAGGACCCAATTGTTGTCTCTTGTAACATGCAGGATGGTGGCTGGACAGTAATCCAGCACATTACAGCCAATAGTACTGTCGACTTTGATAGGACCTGGCAGGATTACAAGTATGGATTTGGCTCTGTTCATGACAACCACTGGTTAGGAAATGAATATATGCATCAGTTAACTAGCAGCTCTGTGCAATACATACTTGGAGTTAAACTTGTAAACCTAAATGCTGAAATCAAGTGGGGACAGTATGAACCATTTCTTATTGAAGATGAAGAATCTCAATACCGAATCAGGGTTGGTCTATACAAAGGCAACGCCACTGATGCTCTGACCCTGGACACAGAAGCTTATCTCCATGACAATCAGAAGTTCACCACCAAGGACAGAGACAATGACAATTTTTTTCAGAATTGTGCTAAACTGGAACACAATGGCATTCCTGGGGGAGGCTGGTGGTACGATGCCTGTGCTGGAGCAAATCTAAATCGTAGGAACGTGATATACTGGCAAAAAGACTGCAACAAGCAACGCATGTGCAAGTTTGCATGGATGATGATCAAACCCATTGACCACAGCCTGTCAATTCCAACCAAGCCCTGTCCATGTCAGAAAGTTGAACTGTAGATATGGCACGCGTACTTTGAAAGGAACATGGATTTTTCGTCCAGTGACTGAAGTGAACTCACACTGATTAAATAATCACAATAAGTAATCATGATTGAAAATTTAATTTGGGCCTCTGCAGGGGCTTTATGATAGCGTATCATCCAGGACTGGACCAGGACATAGACATCTACCAACCACACAAGTGAGAAGAAGTTACTGTCAAAAACCGAGGCCTCTACCAGAAGATTTAAATAACTAATTTTATAGTATTTTAGCTGTAAGAGGAGTCAGATATGAAATCCAGGATATGATGTCTTGTACAAGATATACATGAATATACATTCATTTCAGAAGGCTTTTCTCCAGTATGAATGTTCGTGATTGATCTCCTATAATTGCACATCTTCACATATCATGCAGGAAGGAAACTTCCAGTGAAGCACCTACGTTTACAAAATGCATATTGGAGTATTGTGTACCATAGGACAGCACCAGGACTTTCCTTTTTACCTTTAGTGAACAGTATTTTACTATATAAAATTGGAATTAGCCTCATCTCCCATGGCTTCTTTTCCCCTTCATTGACTCTTCCTTTTATCGCTACTTTTTAATGATCCCACACACAAAGAAGTATTCAGCACAGGTTTCTTCCTTCTTTTTAGAGTACCCACAGCTAATGGGATCATCAGCTTTCCCATTTAAAGCTACTTATCCAAAGCTTACAAGTCGTCTGAATTTTTCCCCAAGAAACTCGGTGAACATATTTTGAAAGATCAAATTGATGTAGTAATTGTTTACTTATTGCTCCATTTTTTTTTTCTGAAAATTACTCCACTTTGTTTACCATGTTTTGACTGTTGCTCCTCCCTGTTCCATGATGTGCTTCAGCTTTCTTTTTTTTTAATACCACCGTGAGAAAAGAAAAGAGCGTTGGCTTTATTTCACATTTGCTAGCTTCAATTGTTTTGGTACCCAACCTTGGCATTGTTTAAACAGTACCTTTTATCTGATTAAAAAATAAAGAGAGAATCTTTAAGATTCGTGATAAGTTCATCTGTTTTAAAGTAATAAATAGGAGGATTTCTGTTTTGATAACCCTGAAGACCTTGTTTTCTTTTACAGCTGTTTGGGTTACTTCACACATTTCTATATCATTGCAATAGCTGAATGACAACTGAAGAATTTTCATTGTTGCATTATACAAAATGTCAGGATAACAACAGAATATCTTGTATGTATTCTTAGATATTTCAGTTACAGAAACTCGACCAACAGATGCTGGAAAACTCCTGCTTTTTAATTTTGAAATAGAATATCATAATTTTCATGAAAATTACTTCACAGAAAATAAATTGTATTGTGTTTTGAGAAGACCACAACTGCCAGGATTCCTTAAGAAGAGAAATTCATTGGGAAGTGGAAAAAACAAGAATGCAATTTTTATTTTTTCACAATGCACTGCAACATTTTCAGAAAGAGATACAGATATGTTATGTGGGTGAGGCCAATATAGCATACATGTCTATTTTGCAGCATCCATTTTTTTTTCCCCTGAAATTGTGTACAATGACAGAGGTGTGATATGAGAAGAAATGAATAGTAGCTGAATTGAGTTTATGTCATTGAGTCAATTTAATGTGGATTCTGCTGTAACTCCATCAGGATGCCTCCAAAGTTTTCATGAGGGTACAATCACCCAAGTGCTTGCCAGTCTCCCATAGCTTTTATTTAAATTCCTGGCTATGTAGCCAGATTCTTAAACAACTTCCAAAATGTGTTTTGAGTAATCTTGACATGGAAGTGTACATCTGAAAGCCATGAGGCTGCATCTGATCCCCAAATGCAAGTAACCTGCTCTGCAGCCCATGCTGATACTGAATTCCAGTATGGGAATCAGATTAAAATGTAATAATAACTCAAAGCAATAAGTCTCCAAGCAAAAGGAAGACAGAAAGATTAATCCAGTTCAAGCAAAAGCTTTTAATGGAACTCAAGGACTGAGGTATGTTCCACACTTCTAAGCAAAGTATGGAGGGAAGTGACTGCTGGAGCTGGATTTGGGACTAAGTAGTGGATGAAAATAAGTAAGAATATTCCAATACACCCACCAGCAGGTCTTTATAGAGCTCTTAAAGTGAAGGACATAGAGCCTTAAAAAGTGGACTAAATTCTAGTTTGTAATTCCTTAGTAAAAGGCTGTCTTAACTGAACAGATTTTTTTTTCTCCATCACTGAAAGGTGGGTCCTCCCAAGAATATCTGATGAAAAAGAATTATTTGGTCAAATAAATGCCTTTCCAAAATAAGGAAGCATGACAAGGTCTAGAGCAATAAGAAGTATATGACTGACTTCCAGCTCCAAACACCCCTGAATGGGAGGCATGTTCCACTTCAAACATTCAGTCTCTTAACAATAGCAGAAAAATATGTTTCTTCATCTCTTTGCTATTTTTTATTTCTCCCCATACTGTTTTCTCAACTGCAGGAAAGGTAAGCACATTCTCACATACAATATCATATTAATCGTGTTATTCAGCCTAGAGAAGGCTCCAGTACTTAAAGGGGGCTACAGGAAACATGGGGAGGGACTCTTTATCAGGGAGTGTAGTGATAGGATGAGGGGTAACAGTTTTAAACTGAAAGAGGGTAGATTTAGATTAGATGTAAGGAAGAAATTCTTCCCTGTGAGGGTGGTGAGACACTGGCCCAGGGTGCCCAGAGCAGCTGTGGCTGCCCCCTCCCTGGAAGGGTTCAAGGCCAGGTTGGACGGGGCTGGGAGCAACCTGGGCTGGGGGAAGGTGTCCCTGCCCATGGCAGGGGGGTTGGAACAAGAGCATCTTTAAGCTGATTTTCATATGTGTAACCTAAACAATAAATTTCCAGACTTCCACATAACATTTTTTTACATATTAACCATAAGTTTAAAAGTATGACGAAATTGTTTTAGGACCAAGTATTGAATACTGTGCATCAATAGATTAGCCACATCACCTGCCTGCGCTCCTATAATTAACAAAATTAACAAAACAGAGAGACCTTTAGTCATTCTCACATCTTCTGCATTCCAGAAGGCATCCAGACCCAGGCATAGTGGTGGGATACAGAGCTGAATCCAGCCACACTCTGCAGCTGGTATCTTCCACTGTACCCTCTCTCCATTCTTCCTCCTATAGCTACCTGTCGAATTGCACATCTAAGGAGGCCTTATGTATGGCATGCAGTAAAAACAACAGTCTAACCTCCACTATGTCTAAATGGCTGCCTCATGTAAGGAGTAAAAAATATTCCAGTAATCCAGGAATTCAGTAAAAATTCCCAAACTTCAGAGGTCTACTGAAGCAGAAGCCATCAGCAACCAGGGTTTGGAGAGGTACTTGTTGAGAAGAAAAGTTCTGAAGGATTTTAAATGTCTAGTTGTTTGAGGAAGACTGACTTCTTGTATCAGCAGATACATGAAGAAACTAATGGTATTTAGTAGCTAATGGCATAAGTATTGAGTAAAATGCAGCGCGATTACTGAGTGTGATGAAAACTGAAGTTCCTGATCTGATAGATAGCCAAGCAGTGCCTATTAAACCTGAAGAAATAAATTTGCCAAGATGGAAAAAACAATCGCAACACCATCCTTTTCTAAAACTACTAATAATCATAGATGATACCTAGTTTTACAACACAATGCTATCCATTTTTTTTTCCTTTTAAACTAGATATAGATATGGGGCAACTATCAATAAAAACATAAGAAGTTCATTTGAATGATCAAAGTTTCAGGTTTTATGACACCCAGCTCTCAACTGTATGTGGAGGAAAACTTTTTAGTGGGTACAAAAGGCAGCAATGGACACTTGGGATGACCACATAAGAAATAAATGGCCTATTTCTGAATTGGTAGAAGAAAAGCCAAGTATTTAATGTGAAAAGACACAGTATCCATTTCTGAAGTTCAAGTTTGGAAGGGCATTTTAAAACAGAGAAGACACTGACTACTGTGTGGCTGTGGGAGTATTTCAGGACCTGATGCAGCCCTGGGAGTCCCCAAGACAAACACTGGGGGGGAGCCTTTCAGAGGGAAGTTCTGACCTGTAATGGTTTGTAGCTCATAGAAGTAGTCAATGTGGGGTGTTGGTTTTTGGTTAGTTTTGTTTTTTTTGGTTGGTTTTCTTTTTTTTTTTGTTTGTTTGATTTGCTTTTTTTTGTTGGTTTTTTTTTTTGTTTGTTTGTTTTGTTTTAAAAAAAGTCTTCTGTAATATCAAAAAAAAGTGAGAAGTATGGAGATTTTTGGGTAGAGTCCTTTCCAACAGAGAGGCACCTAGATGTACAGGTCACAGTAAATGGTAGCTCCAGTTATGTACAACTGAGGAAACAGGTATTTGTTTCTCACTACACCCAAATGATTCCTTCATATTATTTCTATCTCTACAGAAAGCAAAGAAAATTAATTTTAGAGGAAAGTTATACCATTCTGTTTGTTCATGTTCCTAGAGCAATGAATCCAGAGAAAGCAGAAGTATTTATGTCCCCTAAAAATTACAGAGTAACTTTAAAAAAGAAACATGCAAAAATTCTCCTTCAGTATGAAGAATTTGGAAATCACAAACTACGAAGATACGGTTTGGAAACTGTCTTTCCTATCACACGTAAAGAACTATCTTACAAAGTTCTATGCAAAATCCAGAATCTGAAAAAAGTCCACAGGTATTCTATTCAATTTCAAACTGGTTATCCAGTTTCATAACAACTGCATTCTACAAGAAAGTAGCATCTTCCAGATTGATATGGGATTCTTTAATTGCTGTAAAGACTTCTCATTTAAATTTAACATACTTACCACATCCCAGTGACATTTTTATTCCTTCAAGTATATGACCATCCTTAGCAACATTTGCATTAAGATTTATCAGTTAAATTAGTTTGACATGTTCAGGTCATCTATTAAATATGACAAAGACACAATGTCACAGATTTCTGAGAAAAGCCCTATGTGAGAGGTAAAATGATCAGAGTAATTAAATTAGAGATGGGGATTTTTCATAAGACTCAGCTCTAAAACTGGAACAGTATCTAAAGGGTGATAAGGATTTTGTCTTGAAGTGCATCGCTGTCTCTGGAACTGGACTCCTCAAGTCCATATATCCCACTGCAGGTCTCATTATGGGTATAATAGAGATGAGGAACAAAAATCCACATATAAAAATAACTTCCAACAGTTAATAGCAGTTACTAATTGACATGCATAGTTGAATAGGATAAGCATGATTAGCAACTGAATGATGTAATGGCAAAATATGCTCTATCGTATTTTACAGGCTCTTACAGTATTTTCTCTATAACCCTTTTGATTTCATCCTTCCTCAATTCAACAGGATTTTTCTATAAAGGAAACCCCTGCATTTATGTTCTACCTTGACTTCCATCCTTTACAAAGCTCTTTACTCTGTGCTAAGAAGTCACAGAAAATGCACAACTGTAACTAGGTGTTCTATAACCATTTAAAAATTCTGGGAACTCTTCCAAGTATTTATCTACAAACATAAATCATATTTACAGAAAACGAATGTTACTTGATAATTTATAGGGAGGCTGGTATGTATGAAAAGGGAGAGACAAAAATGATATCCCCAGTTTGTTGGAAAGTTCAATATTCAAAAGTATTAAAGTGTGCTGGATCTCTGAAAGGCTTAGTTAGGGATGTATATTTATGCATATATATTGATAATACACACATACATATCTATATATATGTATGTTTATGTAATTAAGTATGAATAAAATGTAATTTTACCAAAAAAGATCTTTTCACCAGTCCATGACCATGACCATAATCAATCATAGGATCAATAAAAGGTTCATTAAGAGGACAAAAATACAGATAACAAGATTGTTCTACACTGTAAAAGTCCCACACCACTTTTTAAAATTACAAAATATAACTTGAAAGCAAAATATAATTAAGTGCTAACTGATACTCTGATGAGGATCACATTTTTCTTTTTGTGGTTTTGAGGTTTTTTAAGACTAAACATCCTACATAACAATAAAGCAACACACACCTCTATAT